AAGAGATAATGTGAAAATAGTTATGGTAATCACTCACCCTCTCAGGGCCTTTTATCTAAGAGCATATTCAATGGATTCTTTAAAGAGATGTGTTGGCTATTATAGCTTGTATCATCATATTCTAGTCACTCAAATGGACTAGCTACTACAATAACTATTTTAACAAAAAAAATTAAAGTCTAGTTACATTTAGAGAGTCTTAAGAGACTCTTTAAATAGTTTGTGTGGATAGGTAGGTAAAATAAAGAGTAGTGTTGAAACATATAGATAAAAAAAGAATTATGTAAAATAAAGAACACACATTTTTTATATTTTAGTTAGAACAAATTGAAAAGTATAGTTAGAGTTGCTCTAACTGTACTTAACAACACTCTCTATCTCCTAAAATTGATTTAGCTACTGTCCTAAATTCTTCAAATATAACTTGTCAGAGATGACAAGACAAAACATCTAAGATATTGTCAATCCTATTGAAATTGTAGTTTGTGATAAAACTAGACAAAATGCATAAAACACTTATGGAGAAGCTTTTAATCTTCAGGGACCCAAGAAGTCCATAGCACAAGGAACCTTTATCCCTATCTATAAGAGGTCAAGAAATTAAACCAAATGCAATCAGTTCCACAGCTTTCCATTATATTTGACTGAAAGTTGAATGTTAGCTCTCATGGCATCACTTTCTTGCTAGTTGCTATCAATCATTCCCTTTTCTTTTCTTTTCTTCTCTATCTACCAGTCATTCTCTGATAGTAGTTGATGGATACATAAATAGGACAGTCAGGCCCACATGAATGGCCCAGTCCAACAGATTGGGCTTGGTTCCATGACCAACAATCCAGCACAAAAAGCCAACTGGGAAGAGGCACGAGATTAGGGCACGTGATGGGATTTCACTTACTTTCTTTTTGGATAAATTACAAATACACCATTGAGATTTGTTTAAAATACAGATTGTTCCCTGTAGTTTGAAAAATTACAAATACCCCCTTATTAGAATTTTTTGTTTAACAGAATTAATTAAAAAAGTAATAAAATAATAAAAAAATGAAATTCATATTTGCTCTTCTATACAATAATAAAATTACTTAAATTATTAATTGAAACATATTTTTAACATCATTAAAAATAGTTAATTGGCTTGATGATTTATTAATAAAACGGACGGTGTGTTATGAAATTAGAAACCCAGGGGTGAAATGTAATTTTCAAAATCAAAGAGGCTATTCGTATTTTAATCAAATCTCAAGAATGTATTTATAATTTACCCTCCCCCAATGATAAACCACATAATATATGTTATCGTTTTAGAAAGTTGATGGTTTGGATGGGGAGAGCTTTGGATGATCCAGTTGTGTGGGCCTACAGTACTGGGCTTTGCTTTAACTCGCTATCAACTGATTCTCATCTATGCTATCTATATCTATCTATACTATATATTAAGTAAAAAGGTTTCTAACCCCCAAGGTCTGGCTGCTTCAATATATCAATCTTAATTTTCTAATTTTTTTTTTTTAAAAAAAAGTTAATCTCAACATTTATTAACTTCTCTCAACCCATAAGACTTTTTGATTTTTCTCATAATTATATCTTTTCCAAAACAAATAATTTGTATATTAAAAAAATTTAAAATAAATATAAATATCTTTATCTATGTCTATCTATAACCTACAAGACTTTTTGATTTCTCTCATAATTATTGCAGTACCTTTTTCAAAATAAATAATTTGTATATTAAAAAAAAATTAAAACAAATATAAATTTCTATATCTATATCTATATCTATCTATTTATTTATATTTATCTCTAACCCACAAGTTTTGTGAGAGCTCCAATATCCCTATCAAAATTTTTGATTTTTTTTAAAAATAAATCCTTAGTATTTATTAACTTCTTTTAACCCCCAAGCCTTACTCTCATAATAACACATTAATGAATTAAGAACAAGTATAAAAAAATTCTTTGAAAAGTCCAACACATATGAATTCCTTGAAAAGTCCCAACACATATGATTATTATCCCTCATAATAACACTTTAATGCATTAAGAACAAGCATAAAAAAAATTCCTTAAAAAGTCCAACACATATGATTATTGTCAAAATATTAAACTTTAATATAATATAAAAAACGAAGACATTTAATTCCTTGGAAAGTCCAACACATATGATTATTATCAAAATATTAAACTTTAATGTAATATAAAAATGAAAAAAGAAGACATTTAAAAATCACAATTCACATATATATGTAAATACAACCCGTGCATAGTACGGATGATATGTTAGTATATATTAAGCAAAAAGGGATTTTTAACTCCCAAGGCCTGTGGGAATTTCAATATCTCAATTTGAAGTTTCTAAATTTTTTATTTTTTATTTTAAAAAAAAAACTTAACATTTATTGATTTAGTCAAAATTTCCTGATCAACATTTATTAATTTTTTTCAATCCATATGTCTTTCCGTATGCATGCATTTATTGATTTGGTCAAAATCCCCTGATCAGCATTTAAAATCCCCATCATACAAATAATTATAGATACAATCCGTGTATAGTTACTGCAGTACCCTTTTCAACTTCTCACATACACTATGGTTAGTGATAAAATTGTTAAATTATTTTTATAAAAAATTTTAAAAAACATAATTTATATATTAAAAATAAATTTAAATAAAAATAAATATTTATAATTAACCCGCTGATAGGGTAGTTAATGTTATTTGCAATTACTGTGAGAATATGATCCTTGTAAGTGGACCATGGGTATTTTTGGAGCCCTTTAATAAGCTTTAGTTGGTATAGTCCCAGGGTGGCTACACCATTTAGTCATACTTTCCTATTTGTATAGTAGGTTAGATATATAACCACTTGCACAAGGCCCAAGAAGATACTGGTGTGGTGTCGGTCTAAAACTGTTCAAGTATTTAGGCTAAAAAATGGGTATTTTTGGAGCCCTTTAATAAGCTTAAATTTGTATTTTTGGGCAAATAAAATTGAATTTGCTCTTGTAACCTGCATATATAGTTGTTGATCTTAGGAAATGAACTGTGAACATGTGATTGTTCTATCATTTTGTTCTCAATGATTTGTTCTGTATGCTATGATAAAGTTGAGTCTTTTTGGTAGAATTTTTATCTGTAATCCTCTGTCCATTTAATCTGAACTTTGTGTGTTTTCTTATGTCATTGAATATTAGTGCATTTGTCTAAATGTTTTGGATTTTGATAATTGACCACCAAAACTTAAATTGTTGACACGTCATCTGATTTTTCGTGTTCTGAATTTAAAGAAATGTAATGTGAATCACATCAGTAGTAAGTGGGACTAATTTCTAGAGTTATCTCCCAACAACATTCCTGTAAATGATGTGCCTACTATGCAATTGTTATCGTCATTATAATAGTCGTCTTCACTATCATTGTCTACTTTATTTATTTATTCTCATTTCTACCTATTTTTTGGAAGGTATAAGAACTTCATTGCATTTCATTTGTTCTTCTATTGCATTATTAGCAAGTTGGCAACAAGTTTTATGGTGATGCTATTTGCCTTTGGTGGAATCTTGATATTGATATGGGATGGAACATCATTGTTGAACCTTGTCATTCTCCACCTTTGGCCACTGAGACACAGTGGCCATGATGGCCTAATGGAAATCCCAAATCTTATTTGTATACTATTCACCCATTCTTATCCAGAGATTAGTAAAACAAGTTTTTTGAACAGTCCGGATTGTGTGAAATAGGGCAAGCCATGTCCATACTTGAGTAGTTTTTGTTTTTGGCATCGATGTCTCATTTTGAAAATCTGTGTCAGTGTTTGGCTCGGCTTTTTCTTATAGTTTATGAGGTAAAAATAGTTTAAACAAGTTGAGGGAAAAAAAAAAAAAAAAAAAAACTATCTGAATGTTGGAAGATGGGTGCTTTGAACTATGCTTTCTAATAACTTTTGGCTTGAGACAAGTTGAACCAAACAGGTCCGGTCATAAGGCACTGCCCGGGGTGTTCAAGACTAAACACTCCTGACCCAAAGAGCGTACTCAAACCTACCACCCTTGCAAAAGCTGCTGCTGAAGCAAATTCAGCTGAATTAAGCCAATTTTAGAAAGTAATCAGATATAGAGTATATGCACCACAAAAAATTAAGATTTTAGAAATTAAAATGTAGAGACAATTATTTTTTAGAGATCAAATATTTTTGTTGCGAAAAAGTGTCGTTATTATATTTTTAGCAACGAAAATTGGACATTAGTGATAATTATTATCTTTTTGGGACCAAATTTTTTGTCTCAAAAAATAAATTATTTTGAGACCAAATTATTTTGTCCCTAAAAGTGTATTCATTAGTGACATTTTAAAAATTTTATCGATAAAAGCCTTATTTTTTACTTTTCGGGATGACTTTTTAGTGATTATTCTCATGACGATAGAAATTGGTTCCTAAATGCCTTTTGGAAAAAAAAATTTCACTTTTAGAGACTAAAAAATTTGGTTTAAAAAACTCTTATATGTTGTAGTGATGGCTGGTGCCTGTTATAGTTATAAGAGGTTACTGATTTTTTGTTTTTTTTGTTTTCTCACAATTTTCTAGTAACAGATGGTGCGTAAAAATATGGCATACTTACGTGTAGGTCCGAATAAATAGAATTATTGTCTAATAGGTCCTATGGAAAAAATTTGTCATAAAAAAAGTCACTAATTTTGAGCTTTAGCGACAATTTATAAAAATCATGACAAAAAAAGTCACTAATTGTCAATTTGTAGCGACGTATGTAAAAAATTGTCACAAAAAAATTATTTTTAACGATAATTTTACCAAGACTTATTTTCAATAGGACTTGATGGGAATTAAGTCTAACTATTAGTACCTACTGGTATTTTACCTTAAAAAGAATATTTGAATCTAAACCACAACAGAATATTTTTTTTTTTATCTGCATTAGAAAACCATAATTTTGTTGCAATTAAGAGAGCCACAAGTTTGTACAGCAATAATTGAAGAGTGGCACAAAACAAAGTATCAAATATTCGCAAATTAATAGGGGATACATTTTATTACTTGAAAGGACTTTTCAGTCTTTGTAGTCCTGACTCACATAAGACTCATATAGGCTTCATTTGAATACTAATTTCCTACTGTATTATCTAAATATTCCTCGGTGTTTCCATTAATAACTAGTCTTAAATGGCTTATAAGTTTTGAGATCCAGGACAACACCGGCTACTGAGCCAACTGCAGCGGCTATGGAGATAACAAGACACGCCATACTCAGTATTTGAAACGCAATCCACCTACTTGACCACCGTTTGATATGTTTCTGAGAAATGTACATTTCAATGGGGAAGTAGACTGTCAATGGCCAAAATCCAAAGGCTCCAAGTAATCCAACAACATCGTTGAAGAAAGGCATGAGCAATGCTATGATGGTTGTCAACACCACAAACATGGTCCTCCATATCAGTCGGAAAAAGTTGATTTGGTAAATGCCACAGAAAGGAATAGGTATGTCGTATTCTGCTGTTATAAAATCACTTTTAGGCCACTTTTGTGCGCTCCATTTTTCCACGAACGCAAATAAGGGCTGGCAATAAAACTGCATTTCTCCGTTTGACAATCAGAAATGCTAAATGCACAGAAAAAATAACCCATAAAAGGTACTGTGTGGTAGAAATTCATCATACTTAAAAAATCTCAGCTACACTATGCTTTCCGTGCATTTTCTATGTCATGTTTCTGTGCACCTAGTATTGTTGTTTTTACATTTACACCGGTCATGCGACACATATTACTTAGATAATTAAATCTTGATTTGCAATTAGTATGGTAATCGGGAATTATTTAATGAGCTTGTACCTGGTATGCTCCAACAAGATGTACAACAATTGCAATGTTGGCTACGTCAAGTAGCCAATAGGGGTTGTAGAATCCAAAACCGGTCAGCAGATTTCCTGGAGCATTATCCCCAAATGCAGCATAACCCATGCATCCACAGAGTAAATAGAACGCTGTCGTTACACTGATGCTCAATAAAGTTGCTTTCTTCATGGTCTTATACTCTGCTGGGGGAGATTTTACAGTATCCTGAAGATGCAGTGAAATTTCTCAGTAAATCTGTATGAGAAACACTATGATTCTTACCCAATGTTAAAGGGATGAAATGAGTTTCAAAGGTTTGTACCTGTATTTCTAAGAGGATGATAGAATATGAATATGCGAAGGCAATAGCTCCGAGAGCTTGCATGCTTCTCCAGATCTTCTGTGTAGAAGTTACTGTCCCGGCTTTCGTTGCTGTCCCTATGCTGATACCGGTCATGCTTCCTTTGATACTCCCATTTTCTGCAGGTAAAGCGATTTTTTCACTTGTACCAATTAACTAATAAAATATAAGTATGTATGTATAAATATATGCTAGATGGTGTCATGGCGGAAGACATTATTTAGGAGTTGTTTGATAATGTTGTCAATTTTTTATTTTCTGTTTACATAAAACAAAAAAACAAGGGAATTATCCTTTTCGCTCTGATACTGATATGACCCTTTAAAGTAGTACAATCGGTTCTACTTTTTTCGTTTCCAATTTTCAAAAAGCAAAAACAAATTCTACATTGGATGCTTATGTTTATACGTGGAATTGCCCTTTGGTTTGGCAGTGTTGTTGTTGAAGTGTTTACCTGCAACTTTGGCAATGCCAAGAGCAAGGCCTACTGAAGAATATGTGAAAGACATAATAGCTGCAACTATGGAAAGCCACCAGACTTGGTCAAAATCTGGGATCTGAGAAAATAGAATCTCTGTGATTCCAAATGCTATCATGTACCCGTTGCTTGACATGTGGCACGGATCTTTTCCTCCACTCTTGTGAAAACAGTTTGATCTTTTTATTGCCCTATAAAGTAACAGAAAAAAAAAATATAAGAATAAAAGATCATATCTGTATGATTTTATCAGTATAATGGTAATCCATAACAGGGAGGAAAAGTAATTTTTATGTATACTGTATCCTGTTTAGGTTTATTAAAAACAAAATTAAAATTGTATACAAAAACTTGCTAAGTTTTGATTTTCGTTTTTAAAAATTTTATTTTGTAACAAAAAAAAAATTTGGTTTTATTTGTTTAGAAAATAAATTTCCATTTCTTTCTCCCTCTCACTCCCTCCAACCACCACCCACCGCTCAAGACCATCAATGGCCACTCCCCCTTGGGCAATTGTTGCCGGCAACTTCTTCTGGGCTGACAACCATCTCCGACCACCATCTTGTCGGAAACCATCTCTGGTTTCCGCCTCATATTGAAAGCCACCTCCAGCTGTCGACAATCACTTTTGGCTACCACCTCTAACTGTCTCGAACTATCTTCGATCACTAATTCCTAGTAACAACCACCTCTGGCCACCCCATCCTTTTATTTTCAAAACAAAATTTAGCAACACATGTAGGTATCAAACTTGTTTTATTGTTTTTTTTTTTGTTTTTAGGTGAATTATATTAACAATTTCTGTAGTTTAGAGTTCGTGTTATTTCGGTCCATGACTTTTGAATTGTGACATATTTGACTATAAATTTTGAATCTTGTTCTAAATAAAGACAATTAAAAATATTATTGCTTAATTTCAAGGACAAAATCGTTAATTTGCTAAAATATAAACTAATTTAATAAAAATAAATGTCAAAAAAATATTTGTAAATTTTTAAAAATTATTTCTACCCATAAAAGATAAAATTATGTAAAATTGATAAATCTCTTAAACATTTATTTACTTATTTTTTTTACCAAATTAATTTTTATTATGTATTTCGATGATGATTATGTATTGGGAGGTCGTTAGAATTTTAATGTGTAATCGATATATTTAATATATTAAATGTTTTTGGTTTTGAATTTTTTGATTTAATGGATTAGTTTAATAATGATATCAAAGTTGTCGCCATATTAGACTTTTGGAAAAATAAAAACTAATTTAATGAAAATAAAAAAACCACCCATTATATGACTATTATCCAAATACATAATAAAAATTAATTTGGTAAAATAAATAAATGTCTAAAAGATATATCAAATTTACATAATTTTATCTTTAGTGTGTAGAAATAATTTTTAAAAATTCAAAAATATTTTTTTGACATTTATTTTTATCAAATTAATTTATATTTTATCAAATTGACGAATTTACCCTTAAAATTAAGCAATGGTATCTTCAATTGTTTTTATTTGGAATAAGATTCAAAATTCAGGATCAAATATATCACAATTGAAAAGTCAGGAATTAAAGTGACACAAGTCTTAAATTATAGGGACCGTTAGTGTAATTTGCCCTTTGTTTTATGTTTGTTTTGTTTTTATTATAATAGATTTAAAAATGCTTAACATTTTCTATAAACAAATAACCATAACATCAAAAAAAAAAAAAAAAAAAAAAAAAAAAAAACATTTAGAGTAACGCTACACAAACAGAAAATTCATGTAGAATCTTTTTCCAGAATGATGTTGCAGCTTTAGATCCTCTCATGTTAAAATTAAAAGCTCATCAGAATAGCTTGTATTTTCAAGATTGCCAATATCACATCATTCTTCTAATAAATTCTGTAAAACAATTCTGTCTGTAAATCAATTTCCAAAAATTTAAAAACAAAATAAAAGAAAAAAAAGGTGAGCAGAGCAGCTTAAAACACTCACATCATGCTGACTGATGCTGCAATTGTATAACCAATTGCCGTGCCAAACAAATTCAAGTACTGAATCGCACCACATACTGTAACCTTTCCGCCCCCTGTAACCCAAATGGAAATCATCAAGTCATGACAATAATCATCAACATAACAGCCATGATTATGAATTCTAGTATAGTACTGATATATATTTTGAAGTCTTCTATTATGAAATGAAGAAAATACGATATTAGAACCTAAGTTAGCCTTGACAGCATCCATGTAGGTGTAGTTTCGCGGTCCAGTGACAGGGTCTCCAGATCTGTAGCACTGTGAGAGGAGATTGGAAGTGTAGAGAATAACAAAGGCAAACAGGATCATCACTGCTGGCCCTGCAACCCAACCGAGCTGTGCAATTGCCCATGCCAATGACAGAACTCCTGACCCTATCACTGCTGTGATGATGTGCGATGTTGCTGTCCAAAAAGTTCCTGCACCAATCATAACACACAATCCTTAGCAAGGTTTTCAATTGAGTGCTACAAAAAGAGCTTCATAGCAATTGAACTGGCTGTATCAGCTATGAAATTAACCTACATCAACTGTGAATGAGATAGTGAATCGACTATGAACTAATACCTATCACAAATCAATCTATATGCAAGTGATTATCATTTTCACTGATATACCAAAATGTTTCAATATCATGAGGCTGAAAGACTTATATTTATCAACCAAATTTAGATTTTAGTCCTTAGTGAAGTACTTGCTTTCCCTCATGGACTACGGGATGCATGGTTGGTTCCAATAAACACTACCGAATTACATAGGACTATTAATCCCGAGGCTAATAATCTCAAGGTTATCAATCCTTTAAAATCATGTATAGTGGTCCCGTTTGGTGTAGCTGTTAAAACAGATTATAAATTATAACTTAACAGATTATAGATTATGACTTTAATCAGAAGCTGTTGATCTGTTTGGTGTAACTGTTGGATTGTAGATTTAAGTTGCTGAATAGTGTTTGTTAAATAAGCTGTGGAGTAGCTTTTTCAATTAACTTTTATTTTTTATTATTCACTACTTATCTACATTTCTTATAAAAAATAATAATAATATTCTATAGTCCATTTGGGTCTTTTTCTATTTTTTAAAAAATTAAAAATAAAAAAATTTATGAGTTTAACTGTAAATAATATGTCCACAGCAGAAGCTGATAATCAGAAGCAATGAGTGAACAGCTTCTCAGAATCAATTTTTTTGACTTAAAATAAGTTGTTAGAATCATAAACGGTTTGAAAGAAATTTAATCAAATAGTTCAAAATAGCTTTTTAAAAACTAGAAGCTATAAGTTGGTTCAGAAAAACCCAAACAAACACCCTCACTATATCTCACTTTTGGAATGACTAGGGAAGATTAATACAATTCTATCGTATCTCATATTTGTTTGAAAGCATTATATACGAACTACTTAGTGTAAAACACCCTTTTGGACCATCCCCTATTTGGGAATCAATAATTCCCAATAGGGGGATATACCATATTTTGATGGTACTAATCCGAAGCTTAATTTTCCATCCAAATGTCAGATAAAAGATTTTTTAGCACATATAATCCAATCGTACAGTAGTTTCCCTTTGAACAAACATGACCTATACATATATGGATAGAGGACAAAGTCAAAGTTAAGTAATTCTAATAACACAATTGATCACTAAGCAAAGCACAAAACCACATACTTGGATTTTTCTGAATAGGCAATAAACAATAACAATATTGAGCCTTTTCTTTTTGGTCCTTGACAGAAAATGATGAGTTTTATCCCCATGTAGTAATAAGGAATCTGAAAAGGACTTGTTGATGAAATTAACTGACTAGTTAAATGGAGTTTATAAAATTCAGTAAAGTACATGGAGGTCAATAGATTAAAAGTAATAATGAGTTTATCATGAAAGATAAAAGAAAGCAATATATAAAACAAAAAGAAAAGCTGTTTTTTTCTTCTATGAAAGTGAACAATTCATAGAAGATGGAAGGTGTACCAGTTCTCTTCAGGCGGCCATCATCATCGAAGCACTTGGAATAGTTTGCGAGAGGGTTTATTGCTTCAGTCTCACTGCTATGTCCTTTTGGTTGGGATTCCACTTGCAAGTAGTGCCTGATATCATGCCTTTCTTCAATCTGAAATCATCAAACACACACACACACACACACACATTATATTTAAAAAACAACCATTAAGAGAGAAAGAGATGGAAAGTTGAAGATGGTCTTACTGTCCCATCATTGATTCTGGGTGGAAGTGTTCTACTTCTTGGTAACATGGTGTTACAAATTGTGTGTGTGTGTGTGAGAGAGAGAGAGAGAGAGGTAATGGACACTTCAACAGACATATGCAATGGGGGATTATATAGGGGAAGATAAGAAAAGATCTCTGTAGAGTTGATGGAGAAAGAAGGCAGTGCTATGCCTCCTTATTATGGATGCTCCATGAACTCTTCTCCTCGTAAACCAAAGTGGCAAACACAACACACATTTTTTTCTTTTTTTCTTTTGTTTGTTGTCCTTTTCTAAATTAAATTATACCGATTTCTCCTTACAAATGATTAGATTATAACAGCCTTAAGTTATTTTAATATACATATATGTGTATATATATATACTTGTGCTAGATTGAATGTTAAGAGGTTAGTAAATTATCTTAACACAGTTGTGCATTCAATATTTCTCTACAAACTTGAATTCCAAATCTCCCTAAAACATTTGAGGTATGCCACTTGAAGTTTAAGTACTTAAATATGATGTCAACTTTCTTGGCGCTTATCTCGTAAACCCATGAGTTTACGACAGTTAATTATAAAATGTCACATTAGTCAATTTATGAAGATTTTGCCTATGTACCTACACCCTTCCACATTTGATCGCAATTTCTTCTCTCCCCACACCTTTCTGCCTTCCCTTCTTTCTCTCCCTACCATCAATCACCACCACACCTTTTCGACCCTCACCACCACCAACAACACCATTTCCTCCCCATCCCAGCCCCAATATCGACCACCGTCACCTCATTTCCTCTTCCCAATACTAAGATTTTATACAGGTGCTTAATGTTTTTGTAGTTGTTATTGAGCATGTTCTCCATTGATCTTTTAAACATGGGTAAATTACACTGATCTCTTTTTGTGACAACTACCTTCTTAATTAATTAAGTTAATTACATGATTACTATTGATCATGTGATTATGTGTTAATTGCATTAATTAATGTGCCATGTGTTTTATGCGTTGTATTGATTTGTATTGCATTGTTATTATGAATAGATATGTATAGAAATGAATTGAACTTGTTTGATTCAGTAATTTTAACAAGTTAGAATTAAATATTTTGATAGGCAATTAGAGCCTAATTCACATTAGTATAATTAACCTTAGTTTGCTTTAAGTCATAAAATGATGAGGATTAATTTAATTTGAGTGTATTTGATTTAATTAGTTAAACCTATAATTTATCAAGGCTTAAGATTAATTAGAGATTAATTATATTCCTCAATCCTATTCATCAAATTGAAACAAAGAAAGGGGAAACAAGAGAGAGACTTAGTACATTTTATAGAGAAGACTAGAGAGAGAGCTCAAGACTAAAGGATGAAGGCTTAAGGAAACAAGGGAGCTTAGGCTAAATCAACCAATTAAGGTGAGAATTTTCCTTTAATTTCATGAAATTGAGATGTCATAGTTATCATCCTTTGGAAATTGAGTTGAATTATAGAGGAGATCATGTATAATTAGGAGTTTAAGGATATGAATGGTGTTATGAAACCACATGAGTTCAAAAAGAGATGAATTGAAGGAATTAGCTTAATATATATAGCAACATGCATGGCATTCTTCATGGAAATTTCCTCCATACATTAGAGTTTTTGCATGATACATGGAAGTTGGAGAGGAACTTCAATGATTTTGAAGAGTTGAAACTTAGATTTGTATGTTTATGAATATACATTTCAATTCAAAGGTTTGGTTTATTTTTGCATAGAAATTGAAGTTGATTCTAAACCATGATTTATATTTGATGATAGAAATTCAAATTCAACGTTAGTTTCATGGATTTGTGGGTTGAATTCTATGAAAATGAGGTTGGTTTTGCAAAGGAAAGCATGTCCAAAACAACAACATTTTTGGACTCAATTTTGCCAAGAACCGTACTTGCGGCCTGGGGCCCTACACGTGCGGAAAACAGGATAGATTTAAGCTTCAATATTGTTATAATTGCACGTGCAGGGCGCACGTGCGGTGGTGGTTCCACACATACAACTAGTGCCCCCGCACATGCGGTTTTAAGGGCGGTCCCAGTTTCGTTTTTGCTCCATTTTTCTATCTTCCAAGCCTCCGTTTGCATGGTTTTTAATTTTCATGTGCATTCGCATCTCATGAACATGAATGAAAAAAAGAACAAAAGTAATAACCCAATGATAAGCAACATATAGAAATCGAATAAGTATAAGTACCGAACTGAATAGAAATGATTGAATGACATGAATGTAATTGAGTTGTGCTTGGATTTGTATAAGTACTATTTTTAGTGATGTTTTTTTATAAGAGTTTGGGGTGTGTCTTAATGCAAAATGACAAAGTAATAGCATATGTTTCTGAACAACTGAGACTACACGAGAAGAATTATCCAACCCATGATTTAGAGCTAGCTGCAGTGGTATTTGCATTGAAAATTTGGTGCCATTACCTATATGGGGCAACATGTGAAGTTTACACGGATCACAATAGTCTAAAGTATTTCTTTACCCAGAAGGAGCTGAATATAAGACAACGGAGATGGCTGGAACTGATAAAAGATTAGCAAATCTTGTACCACCTGGGGAAAGCTAATACCGTTACTAATGTACTCAGTCGAAAATCAATTGGGAACTTAGCTTGTTTACTCACCAGGCAAAGAGCATTGTTACATGATCTAGAAACACTTAAATTTGAATTTGTCTTGTGAGAACAAGGCAGGATTTTAGCTGCTATATCTGCACAGCCGACAATACTTGAAGAAATTAAAGAAAAACAGTTACAAGATGAGTTTATGAAGAAAGTTGTTGAAGAAAGGGAATCTAAACCGAGACTGGGTTTCATTTTTGAGAATGATGAGCTGAAGTTTCAAGGCTGATTATGAGTACCAAATGATGTTGACTTAAAGAAGCGAGTTATGCAAGAAGCCCATAGTTCAAAATTCTCCATTCATCCGGGGAACACAAAAATGTATCAAGACTTGAAACAAAATTTCTGGTGGTCGGGAATGATGAAAGAAATTGCCGAATTTGTATCTAAGTGTTTACAATGCCAACAAACTAAAGCCGAGCATCAATAATCCATAGGATTGCTCCAACCATTGCCAATACCGGAGTGGAAATGAGAGTATATCACTATAGATTTCATTATTGGACGATCTCGCTCCAATAGAAGTATGGATTCGATTTGGGTTATTGTTGACCGTTTGACTAAATCTGCTCATTTCTTATCTGTGAAAACATTTTATAATGCAGATAAGTTGGCTACTCTTTATATTAATGAGATTGTGAGATTGTATGGAGTGCCTGTGTTAATTGTTTCTGATAGGGACTTGAAATTCACATCAAGATTTTGGTAAAGCTTGCAAAAGGTATTGGGGACTGAATTGAAATTGAGTAGTGCATATCATCCACAGACTGATGGTCAGTCAAAAAGGACAATCCAAACTTTGGAGGATATGTTGCGTATGTGTGTGCTAGACTTTCAAGGAAATTGGAAAACTCATTTGCCTTTAGCTGAATTTGCCTACAACAATAGTTTTCATTCAAGCATTGGCATGGCATCGTACGAGGCGTTATATGGAAGAAAATGTTAGTCACCGATTTGTTGGGCAGAAGTTGCAGATAGGTCTTTACTCGGACCCTAAATTGTGCAAGAAATGACGGAAAAAGTGAAACTAATTCAGCAGCGATTGAAAACTGCACAAAGCCGACATAAAGTTACGCGAATGTTTAAAGGCGAGAGAGAGAATATGAAGTGGGCGAGCATGTTTTTATTAAAGTGACACCAATAAAAGGGCATACTCACTTTAGAACTAAGGGCAAGTTAGCACCAAGATACGTTGGGCGTATAAGATTATTGAAAAGATTAATTCAATGGCATATTAGGTAGCTCTTCCTCCCGAAATGGAGCATATGCATAATGTATTTCATATTTCAATGTTGCGGGATTATCTTCAGGATCCTTTTCATGTTATTGAGCCTACCCACGTGCTTTTGAGTGATGATTATACTTATGAAGAACGGCCTATTCAGATTGTTAACCGTCGAATCAAAAAGCTAAGGAACAAAGACATTCCATTGGTGAAAGTGGATTGACAAAATCATGATGGTATCTATGCAACATGGGAAAGGGAAGACGGTATGAAGAAAAGATATCCGGACCTCATCCCACTTGATCCTATGTTCTTTCTAGAGGAAGGTAATTGAGTTTAGAGGACTAAAGGTTCTAAGGGGGAGAGAATATGACAACTACCTCCTTAATTAATTAATTTAATTATATGATTACTGTTGATCATGTGATTATGTGTTAATTGCGTTAATTAGGGTGCCATGTGTTATATGCGTTGTATTGATTTGTATTGTATTATTATTGTGAACAGATATGTATAGAAATGAATTGAACTTGTCTGATTCAGTAATTTTAATAAGTTAAAATTAAATATTTAGATAGGCAATTAGAGCCTAATTCACATTAGTATAATTAACCTTCGTTTGCTTTAAGTCATCAAATGAAGATGATTAATTTAATTTGAGTGAATTTGATTTAATTAGTTAAACCTATATAATTTATCAATGCTTAAGATTAATTAGAGATTAATTACTTTCCTCAATCCTATTCATCAAATTGAAACAAAGAAAGGGGAAATAAGAGAGAGACTTAGTGTATTTTGTAAAGAAGACTAGAGAGAGAGCTCAAGACTAAAGAGAAAGAAGAGAAATGAGAGAAAGGGAGAAGGCTTAGGGAAACAAGGGAGCTTAGACTAAATCAACCAATTAAGATGAGAATTTTCCTTTAATTTCATGAAATTGAGATGTCATAGTTATCATCCTTTGGAAATTGAGTTGAATTATAGAGGAGATCACGTATAATTAGGACTTTAAGGGTGTGAATGGTGTTATGAAACCACATGAGTTCAAAAAGAGATGAATTGAAGGAATTAGCTTAATATAGCAACATGCATGGCATTCTCATGGAAATTTCCTTCATACATTAGAGTTTTTTCTTGGTACATGGAAGTTGGAGAGGAACTTCAATGATTTTGAAGAGTTGAAACTCAAATTATTGTATGTTTATGAATATACATTTCAATTTAAAGTTTTGATTTATTTTTGCATAGAAATTGAAGTTGATTCTAAACCATGATTTAT